CACATGGTTATGGATTTCTTCTAATTCACTGAGGGGTCTTGACCGTATGCTATACTACGCCGCAGGATTTTGACTGGGGATAAGGGGGTCTTTATCGTATATATATAGTTCACCAAGAGGTTTTGACCACATTTTAGAATTGATTATAAGAGGTCTTTGAGACCCGCTTTCGTTCACTGAGAGAGCCCGAGGCCCGTGTCGGAAGTGATTAGCCTGAGGGCAGTTTACACGCGTATGACTAGATTACAGATTTTATTCAGATGGTAAATTTTTGAGGAATTTTCAAGTACATTTGATGTGATGAAATGAATGTATAGATTTCAAAAAATTATATCATGATGATGAGATGATATTTTTCAGTATTATAAGGATGTCTCATATCTTGATTATTATTATATGCTGTTATACCGTGAACTATTAAAGGATGTAAACTCGATATTAGTTCAAATGTATAAATGAGAAAGTATAATTATTTTTGAACTTCTTCACTGAGCTATAACTCATATATTTTTTCACTATTTTTCTTATCAGGTAGCAGTTGAGTTCTGAGCATCTTTAAAATTGAGCCTTGATTTTGGAGACTGTTACACGATAGAGTTTGCTCGTATGACTCATTTCATAGAGTGTGTAGTCAGTGTTTTGGGACAGCGTTCACTCTTAGATGTGATTTTGCATCACTTATATATAGTTATGTGACTCAGTATGTATTTTGCATCTATATGTACATTTCATATTATTTTTAGGGTAAAATTTGAATTTTCGACATTTCTCTATTATGTTGTATTATTTTTGGGATTTATGCATAGTGAATTACAGGTTAGTTAGTTCTATTTGCAAGAGAGATAATGCCGAAATTTTGTTAAAAATAATTTATAAAAAGTTACATATTGTAGTAGCCTTGATGGTAGGTTCGACATTTGGTACCTATCATTAGCACATGCTACATTCCGAGTCCAATAACGCTACATGGATGGGTCATGTCAGATCGATTTTTATTGAACTGTCTCGTTTAAAAATTTAAGCTATTAGAAAAGATATACGGATAATTATATTTACTCTATAATACAACTCCTCAGTTTTTATAAATAGGTATGGCTATTAGTGGAGCTAGGAAATGTGGAGCCCAAAATCTATGAATTATGTATATATTATTTCATCTTCCTCGATCAATTTCTTTTTCATGTCCACATGTCCACCCAAAAAAGTAAAATATGCTGTGTGATGGTTGGCCTCCCATTCCTCTGCCTAAATAGATGATGGCGAAATTTGAACTCATGACATCCTTTAATTTTGAGTCATCCCATTTAAAAGTTTAACTTATTAGAAAGAAAACTTCCATCAAAATTTGGTATTCAACACACTCCTCATGTGGAAGTTGTATTCAATCTTTCATCACAGCAGACATAATGCACGATTTTCATAAATGAGTGGAGACGAGACTTGAATTCAAGACATTTGCACATCTGAATACCACAAAGAATCATCTTATAGAGAAGTTTACTCTTAGAAAAGATATTCATATATTTGCTTAAACTTAGCTTTCAACGAACTTATTGTATGTGTAAGAAAACTAAATCACGAAATTGATTTGGTTTAGTTTTAGATATGAATGGATTTTAACTCTCGTTAAAAAAAATTAAGGGGTTAGAAATGACAAAAAAATAATTGAAATTTTCATAAATCGACGGTGGCACATATTTGAACTCAAATATTTCATCCGAATAAACAACTTTGGCACACAAATCGCAACATAAATGTAACTATTTATTCAAATTGACTTGTGTTGTACCCAAGAACACTTTAGTATATGCTCCCTCTGATCCTCACATTTTTTATTTCGTCACCTCAATTTTGTAGAAGACAAATTTGCAAGTGACCTACCGATTCTCAGCTATTTTCGAGCGTTGAAATTAATTTGGAGAACCATTACTGGGAGCACTATCAAAAGGTACACAACTTAGATTGACTTAATTATATTCTACTAATTAATTCTGTTTAATAGAAAATGGAAAATTCACTTATTAGAAAATGAACTCGATTCAGCACAGAAAAATAAATTCAAGCTTATTTAGATGTCGAGCATGTTAATTTCGAGTTTTGCGCAGTTTAATATAATTATTTTATATTCAAAACACGATCTTAAAATGTACAATTAATACAACATTTGTATCAAGAAAGGCTAAGACGCACTAGATGACACTAAAATTCACTAGCATTGTTCAATGTGGCACGTAATTTTATAACCGTTGGTTTAGAATGCTAATCAGAAATTTCCCATTTCTCCGATTATTCTTTATTATAAGTTGACCTTACCAAATTATACTTTCTAGGAGTAAAATAATTGCTTGCTTTCCTCAAATTAATGATAAGAAAGATTCTTTAATGAAAGAAACATTTTCTCGTTATTTTAACTTAAAATGTTCAGAATAAAAAAATAAATAAATAAATAAATAAATCTACTTACGAAAAGAAGTTACTTATTTATTCAATTCAGTAATCTTCATGTTCTTTTCTCAGCATGATGTCTTCTACACAAACTTGATGCCAAGCATGATTTCTATGTTATGTATGATCATGCCTATCGGCATATTGGCTGAATTAGATTCCTTTTTATCAATCGAAATTGTAACCGCGCTACAAATTGAACAAAAGGACATAGAGATATAAATAAAACAACACTAGATATACACACTGATTTGAGTGGCTATGCACATTCTTTGTATTCAGATAAACTTCACCAAATTGGTGTACAAATTTTACACGAAAAAGGAAAGTTCAAGGCACAGTACAGAGAAAAAAACAAGAAGAAAAAAAAAACCATAAAAATTACAGTTCATATCGCTTGAAAGCTGAAAAATATGAGGCAAATTTTCCAAATACAACTGCCCCTGGATGATGGATTCTTCAATCCTGTTCCCAGTTCTTTCATGGCTGCTTACACCATCTCAACATCGGATTCTCCAAATATTAAATCAAAATAGATTCTGGATACAAAAATGATTTGAGAAAGAAAAAATTGTACTCTGAAGAGTTGAAAGAGCTAGAAGCATTAGTGATGCAAACGAAATTTCTTAACTAGAAACCTTGTAAGACTGCCCCAAAATGAGCAGGCCTGATCTCCTGGCTTTAGTGGACAAAATAAAAGCTTTCTACTGCTGATGTGGCAAGAGAACCCTTTACATTGAAATGAGTACACGTTGAAAGAACTAATGAGATTTTATGCAAGTACCCAACTGTGACAATGGAAGCAAGACTTAGACCAACCCTGGTTCTTTCTACTCAAAATGATGTATGATACAAAGAAAATTAAGAAACATGGGTAAATGGTGGTGGGATCGCCGGCTTAAAGTGTTGCGGAAATCAAAACTTGCCAACTTTACAGTTCGGCACCTTAAACTACTAGGCAGCACGAGAATGGCATGGGGTGTGTCATCTTAATAACACCGTGACAGACCAACAAATAATCACATGGTCTTGTTTGTCCATTCAGCATATTGGAACTGTTCACTCTTGAACCCAATCTCCAAAATTCAACTTGCAGTTTGACTTATCAAGGTAGTTCTTCAGGATGTTCCTGAAAGCCCCAACCACATGATGCTTGTGCATGAGTTAGTGACAACATATAGATGATTGTATTGTCAGAAAATGTTAATGACCCGACATGTTGAAAGCAACCCCGCCCGGAATCCACACGAACACACACATTGAGGTAAAAGAATATGCACTGGACTTGATGATGCAGCCTTAAAAAGAAATGGCACGACTAATGGAAAACTTGGCCCATTCAGCAGATTCCTTGATCAAATGGTCATCTGAAGACAAGCACTCATTTAAAAACTCTTTGCTTGACAAAGATTGCTGAATCAAGGAACCTGCATTACTTCCCAGAGTATCTGCCAGATCGCCAAGGACACCAATAGCAGTTTTCATCACAACATCATCCCTAAGATAGAATAGAAGAAACCTTCAGATAAAAATAAAATAGAAGACTTTGAAACCAAGAACCAGAAATTCAATAAATTATACTCACATATCTTTCTCCATGTACATTCTATCCAAGAATTGCAGGATGTACGGTGCATATGGGATCAGAAGCTCGGTTTTAGGAGAGTTCTTGAAGCCCTGCAATATACCAGAATACGCCTCCAAGATTCCATTTCTTAGAAGATTAGTATATTCTATCATCCCATCATCAGCACCTGATGTGTGGGCAGACAACTCTGCAGCACTCTGGAGCATGGGCATGGCATACATCAGATACTTCTCAAAATTCTCTCCAATTGCCAGTGCTATGTCACCAAAGCACGAAAAGATTGGGGGCTTCACAGATCGGTGCAGCTGGTTGCTTGACAAGTCTTTGAGAAGCTGAGTCATTATCCCATCGCAGTAAGGAAAAATCTTATCCTCCAATGCCCTGCAAATATCCCCCACAACACCAACCGTAACAGCACAAACTTGGTACTCCTCAAAGTTCTGAAGACCCATCTCTAAGGAATTGTAAAATTCTGGCATGTACTTTGTAAAGTCTGGGCCTGTCGTGTAGGCAAGCGCACCAATGGCAAGCACTGCTTCCTCGTGGACAGTGGCACTTCTACTAGCAAAAACCCTGAGAAAAAGATTCATAATCTGATCTGCATACTGCAAGAAGGCATTCTTAGTGCCATCAGATGCTCCTAGTTTCTGAATAATGACCTGCAAGCACCCGCAAAGAAGGCCTTGCAATTCATTTTGCTTTTCTTTCTCATCCGATGAAGGCTTCTGTGACTCAAGAGACTTGTGAAGCTCTGTCATGATAACTTGAACCAGTTCCAATATTAAGTGAGTTGTTTCACCAGGTGAGCACCTAACTACTTCATTCAGTGTCTCATATGCAGCAGTTCTAAGTCGTGACTCCCCAGCATCTTCCCTGTGAGTAGCATTAAGTAGAGACTGAACAATTGCTTGGAAATAAGGTGTTAAAGGGGATGATGAGTCCACATCCTCATAACCTTGGGCTAGAAAATAGAGGGCGCCACACACTTTTTCAGCAACATTTAGAGCATCTTGCATGCTTTGAAGCAGAACTGTAATAATCTGCTGGCAGTTTGCAGCAGTAATAATGGGCATCTCCACCGTTGAACCATGAAGAAATTCAAATATCCTTCCCAGCGTCCATGCCGTTGTATCCTTCACATGGCTGCTTGGGTCGTTTGTTAAAGCAGTGAGCATGAAATTTAAAGCAACGTTGACGATAGGCATTAATTTGTCTGGTGAGGGACCTTCCAGTATGGAACCGAATGCATAAGTAGCAGCCTCTCTCTGCCTCCAATCAGGTTTTGTTATATTCTCTTCAATAAATGGCATGACAAGTGGCACAATATCATCCCCTACAGTGCGGGCAACCAAACCAAGGCAAGTGCCACCAGCCATCGCGAGATTCCAAGCACTCTCATCCTGATCCTGATCCTCCTCTTGCTTAAGAAGCGTCTCCAGGAGCATAGGAACAAGTGCAGGGATAGCCTGCTTGACAAAATAATAGCACGGGACTTCAGAGTCTGCATTAAAATCGCTTCCATACTCATCCAGAATATCGATCTCCTCATCACAGATAGAGCTCCAAAACTCAATGGCTTGAAGAGCAACTGGCTCCACATCTTCTCTGACAGCCTTGGATGTAACGTTGAAAATGTCTTGGATGTATGAAGCTAATTTCTCATAGTATATAGACCCAATAGAAACCAAACATTCAAAAGCAGCCTGACGAATTTTCACCTCAGGAGAGAGAGTAGCCTCACAGACAACTCTCATTATGTAATTTCGCTCCATATCATTGGAAAAGTTTGCCTGAGCAAAGCCAAGAGCATTATACAAAGCTTGGGTAGCAGCAAGTCTAACCTCATTGTTACCTTCATTAGCATTCATACCTTGGACAACAGCTGTAAGTATCTTATTTACTTGATCTTGATCAACAACCTCCGAAGCAACTTCTTCACACATATACCCTAAAGTTTCAAGTGTAGCTTGCTTAACATGAGGTGGGACCTGATTAGTATTTGATAAGAGGGATCCTATCAGCTCAGGCCACTGTTTATGGGGTAGCTCGATGCCTGCAACCTTTGCAATGACTTGTGAAGCAGTTGACCGAGCATCAGGCACAGGAGAGGAGAGTGTCAGTAACAAGCAAGCCTTGATTTGGCTCTTCAGGGCCACATCTAACGATAACCATCTTTGTACAAGCTCATATTTTTTATGTTGCTCTTTGGCATCCAAAGCATTTTTAAGAATCAAACCTGATAGTTTACGACTTTCAACTGGCTTCTCCTCACTAGCAAGCTCTCCAGAAAGAGATAATAGGAAACCAGGAAGGTTTTGCTCCTGAATCTGGTTTAAAGTTTCTTCAGCATGTTTCCGCACCGTTGAATCAACTGCTTGTGCACTTAGAAGAACCTGGGTGACTTCCATAGCAATATTTTCCCTGCCAATGTCACATGGATTGACAAATTTACCATAACAAACAGGAAATGAAAACTAAATAAAAATCTTGAGTAACCTATGGACTTCAAAGAAATAACAATTTCAATCTGGACAAGAAGAACAGCATAAGAAAGAACAAATTTTGATGCTTGGTGGAAAAACTCAGGAAGAAATAGATAAAAAATCATTGGCAGTATACCATGTAAAATTGAGAGTGAGTATTCCAAGCATTACTTTACATAGCCTTGTTATTGTGCCACAAGAGCACTGGTTTCCATTCATTGTAATGAATACAGGGATAGAGTAGTATTATACAATATAATGCACTTGAGGATGCCGTGCTTATACATTGTGTAAGATTCAAATTCAGAAATTCTCATAGTAGTAGAATTATGACAATTCTTAAAGTAGTAGAATTTTTGAAGAACCAAATAGTAAAATAAGCGCTGAAAACATTTTTGCCTATTTACAGCTCGTTGAGTAAGAAATAGATATACCACATTAATATTTCTCTGCCTTCTACAGTTCACTGCACGACAAAACAAAGTAGAAGCACAGATTTGTCTTTCCAGAAAGACGTAGACAAACAACTAACATTTTGGTTAGTTGCTGACATTTAAATTGAAAATAATGCACAGATTCCCCCACAATAATAGATAAATGGTGATGATAACTTCCATAACCACTGGCAAAATAGAATATCGGTCCATTAATCTTCAAGACAGATGGTGACAAGATTATTAAGTAAAACAAAATCAGAACTTGTAAATCATTAGTAAATTCACAACTTGAATAAACCAAACTGAACTTCCAAGTATATTTATTATACTATTCCAATGTGAAAGCAACAAAGTACTTCAATTAGAAAAGTATTCTGAAGTATCATACAAGAATATCAGTTAACAATATAGTAAAGCAAATTGACGAAATCAGTTAAAACCCTTATAACTTCAGCAAGCAAAACAATCAATCAAAAAATACTACAACCAACCAGAAAAAAATCAGATCTTCTCATTCTACACAAAGTTTATAAAATGCAATACACACAAAACCACATTTCCAAAGAATGCGTCACTCTCGTAATAAAATCATTTATCATGAAATCAGATCTATTTAATACAAAACAAAATCAAATAATCCTCCAGTTATCACCCAAATTGGCACACCTATTACCATGATTTTAAATTGTGGAATAATTTGACCGTATAAAAAAAAAAAAAAAAAAGAATTAAAAAAAAAAAAAAAAAAAAAAAAAAAAAGAGGGATTCAGACAAAATTACCTCAAATTTCACTCTCGGATCGATATGAAAAAACCCGACCCCTCCGAAAACCCTGAGAGAGAGAGAGAGAGAGAGAGAGAGAGAGTACAACCATGTAAAGCAGGACCGGGTTTGAATTAAGGTTAAATTCACCGATGGCCACCATATTTTAAACTTAATGTTATTATGGTCACCCGACTTTATTTTATTTCTTCATATCCACTCAATTTTATATTTAGTATCACCATGATCAATTAATTTCATATAACGTTTCACCATAGTCAACCAATTTCTTTTGCCCTTTCCACTAATTTTAAATGGGTGAAATGGTTAGTTTACATTACATATAAAATAATTTTTTTCTAAAAAGAGTTTTTAATTTTTTTTTTAAAATAAGTTTTTTTTTTAAGGAATTTTTTAAATAACTTTTTATTGTATTATTGTAAGTAATATTTTTTTTTAAAATAAGCTTTTATTTCATTTAAAAAAAATTTTAAATAATTTTTTATTTCATTTTAAAACTTTTTTTCTAAAAATAAGTTTTTATTTTATTTTTTTAAGCAATTTTTTTTTTTTTGTAAAATAACATTTTATTTTATTTTTCTAAGTAACTTTTTTAAATAAGTTTTTATTTTATTTTATTTTTTTAAATTTATTTTATAGGTAAAATGCAAAATTACTGTTCACCCCTTTTAAAATTAATAAAAAATGTGAAAAGAAGTTGGGTAATTATGATGAAACATTATATGAAATTGGATGAGCATAGTGAAATAAAATCAAATTAGATGGTCATGATGACACTAAGTATAAAGCTGAATGGCCTTAGTGAAACAAAATCAAATTGAATGATTATGATGATACTAAGTATAAAGTTGGATGATCATTGGCGGATTTAACCCTTTTAATTAATTATGCATATATAATAAATGCAATCTGCATATTCAATTTCGCAGTATTTAATTTTTAGTTTTTTTTGGGAATTATTGGGTGTTGCCTAAAATCAAATTTCATCACCTCAACCCTTGTCACATGTACTATCAAAGGCCCCTTTTCGAGCAACAAAATTCTTTACCTTTTCATGTGTAGTGGAGCCTACCTCAACTTGCTTATTTTCACTCTTTTTGTCCATTTTTTTCATTCGTCATTCATCAACTTTCATGTTTCTTTTGAGTAATGCTATTCCGTACGGTTGATGTTAAGTACAGTTTAGGTCATAACTACATGACATTAAGTCATTGTTTGGCCTCCATTATAATGAGATTTTAAAAATAATGTATTTTGGAATAGTAATTTTTTCGTGTAGTTAATAAAGAATGAATTTTTTTTTTTATTTAAGTAATAATATTATTTTTATTGAAAAATATATGATTGAAAATGAGATAAAGAAAATTGTATTAAAATTTTAATAGGGTCCAACAAGGATTAAATAATGTATTCAATTAAATATAATGTCATATGATTAATTTAATTGAACGTATCAAATTTAGCCACTGATGCTAAATGACATTACTCTTTTTTTTTTCACATAGTGTAAACCATTACATTTTTATTACAGTGAATCATCCTGCCAGTGTGTTTAAGTTTGATTATAGACTACTAAGAAAAGTAGTTATAACGACTGCTTAACATCATTTTATCAAGTTCAAGTCAATATCTTATGGATTGTTTTTCTAAAATATGTAGAATAATTATCGATCCTCTTTTTGTAACAAGTTAAAAGTTTAGATACTTTTACATTCTTTTTTAAGTTTTTCTACAGTTACACTTGGTCGTCTTTAATGATTTGATTGTGATGATTAAGTGGTACGATTTGCCCCAACACTCCTTTTATTTTCACTTTATTCTCAATATACAACCACATTTCAGACACAAATCTCACGTTTTCTCTTTATTAAAATGTTTTTTTAGTTACCTTAAAAACCGTGTAGTTAGAGTCTTGAAACAGACTCTATAACAACCCATTTGCAGTTCAAGTTACGAGGAGGAGGTATTCGGTAGTTAAACAAAACACAACAACGAACAAACAATTCACACGACTCCCTTCTTTGTTTTTGTTTACTTCAACATCCTAAGCCCCAGTTTGAGCTACATTATTGTAAAAATGAAAATGAAAAATATAGTCGTTATGAGCCTCACATAAAAAATAAAAAGTCAAATATGATGACTTAATATGATGAATAACAGTCATATTTTTCATTTTAATGAGAAAAAAATGGAGTTCAAACAGGGCCTAAACATGCTCTAAATATGATCAGTAAGAAACTTCTAGGGCACAATGAATTCTTGAACAGATGGGAGCAAAAGCGATATAAAAACATTGAAAAGCTTTTCAGATTCACCCTTGAGCAAAATAACATCCATCAAAATGATGTATTGATGGTTAAATAATAGACATGTAAGACTCGAAAATTTTTGCTAAGGATAATGCTACTTGTACATCAAGTATTGTTTATCGTCCTCACATGAAGGGATCTCACTTTGAATAAATCATATTTTATTTGAAAGAAGCCCCCCTCCATGTGAGGGAGGTGGACATCCTGATGTACATGTAGTATGACTCTCTTGTTAAAGGGTTAGACTTTCAACACATATTATAAAAATTCCCTATTTAGAAGATCATTTTCTGCATATGGATTCTTCGTGAAGTGCATATCCTGTACTAATATTTCAGTGAAGTGAAATTGTAAAAATGACTTCTCAACACTCTTTTTTCGGCATGACATCATGATAGAAGATACTGAGCAACCCGAACACACAAGCCAACAAACAAATCATACTATTTCACTCTATATGTAGAGTTATATCCACTTGTTGCTGCAAATTTTCAATATGAAGAAAATTTTCATCCCTCTCAATCTCACAAAAAATTATCCGTAACAACTCCTTTATATGAAAACAGATTCTCCAATATGTATTTGAAATTGAACCCAGAGTACACCTACTAGAAGTTGATGATTAGACTTCACACACTCCACTTACAAGCTTCAATCAGAGTAAGTATCATAGAATAAATCCAAACAAAATCGAATCTCTAATTAATGTTGAAATAAGTTTTGAGTAATCCGAGCATTTCAAGAGTTCCTATAGATCAGTATTCGTTGCTGTAAAGAGTTTTAAACATCGATTCTTTCAAGTTACAAGACACAAAATTAGAGCTCATGATTGATTTTTTCGATACATTTTATATTTATGTCCCTGGTTAAGAGATTTAAAACACTAAATAATACACAGGATAAAGAAACAAAATTTTCCTTGAGGCCAAATCTCTGATGCTTCATATTCATGTCGTAATGAAACAGATTGCAGAAATGATCCTAGCATCCGCACGAATGCTGGATCTTACGATGAGAGATTTTTTCAACCCTTCTAATTCGTTTTCAGCCAGATATGCAAGGAAGTCAAACAATTTGTTGCATCAGAGTTCATCATGGAAGCCATCATCTTCAGAACCATATCTTCCGTTATCATAAACTGTGTTGTAGAACGTATGGTCGTGATTAAGCATCTCATCGAGCGTCAATTTTCCATCTTGGTTATCGTCAGCCTAAATCAAGAAAGGGGTTACATAAGCGCGAAATGATTTCTTAGAATATACATTTCAGATTCATGATAAAAAAACTTTTGAGCTCCGCCCATATTTTTATGAAGGTGAAAAAGCTAAAATCTTGTTCAATACACTTATAGTCATGTCCACTACTGTGTATCGAGCACTACATAACAACAAATGTGCACTTAAATGAAATAATTTACCTCGTGCATTAGATAGCTTGAGTAATATTTGGCATAGGTCAGTTCACCAGGATTCAGGTACTGAATCATAGGTTTCAATTCTTCCACTCTCAGAAATCTGTCAAAACGCATATTGACCCAATCAGAACACGTTTTCTTCTCTAACGAGAGGGTTGATGCCAAACTCTGGAAAATAAAAACTAGTTTAGAGATTAAATACAGTACTTGTCTTTATCGATGTCAAGTTTGTTGAATAACGCTTCAGGTGAATGATATTCTTCCCATCCCGTTTCAAATTCAACACAAGTCCTGTATGAATCATAAGCTCCTGCCTCGAACTCCTCCAAGCTAAGTTTCTGATCGTTATCGTAATCCATCTGCCTGTAAAATTTAGATAGAATGGATGTGATTAGCAGAAATCACATGTAAATAAAAGTTAAGTGGGCACTAGAAGATTAACCTTATCTTGTCTCTTAACAGCCATCTTTTTATCTGTTCATTTCGACTGTCCTCTGGATGCAAGAAACTGCAAAGGAACATAGTTCGGATGATTCCAACTACAGTGGAAACACGAAATATGTACAAAAAAATCAAGTAGAAGTGAATATTACTCTTGAAACTCGTAAATGTTGAGAGTTCCATTCCTATCAGCATCGGCATTTCTGAATTGTTCCATCCACCATCCTGCTTCCCCATGTTTCATGTCATTCCTCTCTGTTTCACAATTTCCGAATTAGAACCCTATTGTGGGAAATATCCTATCGCTCCATTTGGCTGGGAAGAAGTGGGAAAATGAAGATAAACATAACAAAAAAGTTAGTCAAAAAACATTTGATTCTGACTTGATAATACAATCTTTTTCCCCCTTCCATCAGTTGCACACAGCCAAATGATGCAATTATTGATAGTAAATGAAACAAAGGATTTGTCAAACGAGGCATCATAGTAGGTAGAGATCATCAATTCCACTACCACTGTCATCCATTTATAAAAATTGTGCACATGTTAGGCCTTAATCTCGCTGCTAAGGAGGGAGCATTTGGAGATTAATTTAAAATGTGTGGCATCTAACAGCTTGAGTTTAAGTTTAAACTTTTAAATGGGCTGGACAATCACCTATATCTTCTTTAGAGAATCGAGGTAAGTACTCCGAGAATGAAATAGCTCCATCTCCATCCTCATCGCGTGATTCCAACTCCCTTTTTGTTATATGATGCATTCGATCAAACGCCTGATATACAATCCAAGCTTCAAGCTCCTTAGCATCAACAAACCCATCTTTAGGTTCCCTATCCAAAAGTGGAAACAAAACCATCAACCTTAGGTCTATATTCAAACTCCCATCATCATAAAAATATTTTTTATCCTTCTCTAATCCTTTTCTTTTTCCCTTCTTTTCTTCTCCCATTCTTTCCATTTCTGCAACAAGAGGGTCAAAAACTGGGATAGGAGTTTTCAGTCCCAAACGTCGAATTAGGCCGCCGCTTGGGCGGTAATCTTTTCCACTAGATTTTATATTTTCTGACAAGAAAATTAATAGGATGAAGACAATGGCCAAAATGGTGCAAACCACCACTACCTTCGGCATTTTCCGGTCTAATAATGAATGGAAAAGATTAGGTTGTTTATGTCTCGCTTCATGTTTTCTGTCTGCGGTATGAATGATATGTTTCCTGTTTTTACTATTATTGGCATGGAAGAATAATGACCGTTATTTGGCAGTTGAATCCTTGAATTGAGAATCTTTGTTAATTAATGGCTTAACATAATTTTGGGCAAAGTTGCAAATACATCAGAGTTGTTTGGTGCCAAAAATGACAAAGAGCATTCTTAGCTAAACTTAAAAAGTTTACTTATTAGTTAATAATTTCTTCATATGTAGAATTTAAAATTAAGTTAATTGTTATGCCAGCAAAACAAGAGTAGAAAAAGTAAATTATCCATATACGTTTGAAGATAAAAGTTATTTTCAAGATGAACCATTTAGAATGATGAAAATTGACATTTTCTAGTTCTCAATATTTTTTTAGCTTCTCATGGATTTACTTTTAGTTAGATATCATTGTTATCAAACTATTTCAATATATTTTTGAGATATTGGTTTGAATTTCATCACAGAAATTTGATTTTATTTTTATTTCAGTTTTGACTCTCACCAAATATTGGCTTCCTTTTCTTTATATATTTTATTTTTACATACCCTACCAATAGGGTTGGCAACGGTTCGGTTATGGGTCAGTTCGGCCAAAACCATAACCGCACCATCAAATTTTTGACCATACCATAACCGCACCATAACCACGTAAATCGGTTCGGTTCGGTTCGGTTTTTATCTCGGTTCGGCACGGTTCGATTCGGTTAATAACCACGAAAATAAATTATTTTTTATAGGTTCATCCATCAAATTGATATAAAACAATTTATGAAAAAAGTCAATGAAAACAAAAACACAATATTCTAAATGAAAATGCAAACATTATCAAACAATATTCCAAACGTAAATGTAAACATTATCCTAATTTTCAATTGTAAAATACAAATTTAACAAACAATATTATAAATATAATAATACTAAACTTTTCCTTCATTCTTAATTGTTGTGCATTGAAGTTACATGATGCATTCATCCCTACAAGTCTTACTAGTATGGATCAGCATTCAAAGTTGATTCCTATTCATCCTTGGCAATATTGGCACGTCTAGAAAAACATCGAATTTTGTTTTTACATGATTGGTAGTAATAGAATGACTAACAAATGTAACAAATTTTCGGAGGCGACGACGATTTGGACCGTAGAGGCAATGGGGCCGTGCGTGAGTTTGTGGTTGTGGATAGTAGGGTTTACATTTATATACTGTCATACTAATGCTATTATGGGCTAATGCTAAGCAGACTGGCTGAATGAGTCAGGTAGATGTAATGAGGAGGGGAGGGATTTTGTTTTGATTTTGATAGAAAAGTAGTGTAAAGTCCATTATCAATTCAATTTTTTTTTTTAGCGGGTAATCGGTTCGGTTTCGGTTTGACGACGTAAATACCATACCCGCACCATTACGAACCGGTTCATTAAAATCAAAACCATATCTGCCCCATTGCACCATCGGTTCGGTTTTTTTCGCCCCATTCGGTTCGGTTAACCGCGATTTTCGGTTTTGACGGTTCAAATTGCCATCTCTACCTACCAAACATGCTAGAATATTATACATGATACACCATTCTATTCATCTTTGCCAAGAGAAGGGCATTTGGTTCCATTTCCTATCCACCAACCTTCACAAAACCATTGTACAGCATAACATGATAAATGTAAGAGAACACAATATCACCGTCACGTGTAGAAAAATATGAAACCTAAACTGTTAATATCACGTGATCATCCATAGTAAAAAAAGAAAAAGAAAAAAAAAAAAGGTTGAACCCCAACCTTGAGGGCCCCCACCGTCCCGCCCCTAGAGCTTTGTGAGGGAGGTAAATCGCGGGATGTGTTCCAGCAGGCCAGGGAACAAGAGTTGCTTGTACATTGCGCTTACAAGGAGTTCAATTCCATGTCTCAAGAATTGAACCAACACACTGCGGCTGCCAGCAAGACATGAGATAACCTCACTCCTGTCCTTTGCACCACTGAGCTATACTCCGGGGGGCGATCATCCATAATATCATGGAGCGTTGGAGGGCTAAGACGTCATGGGTTTTAGCATTTTTAATGAACTAACTAAAAGAAATGTATATTTGAAAAGGACGGTCAACTAACGTTTTAATAGTAAAATGTAAATCTTACTTCTTGACAGTAAACAATTTTTTTGTCTCAAAATCTCAATAATATTATCGCGCATCAAATTTCACTATTCGAAGAAGTCCGTCAGGAGTACAAAAATATTTGGATACCATGGGAGCAAATACAAGTAGAAAAGAACAAGCTGCATCCTCAATTAAATGATTCCTAGTTAAAGAATAATACAATGCATAAAACATTAATTTCTGCCAAATATATTTTCATTTTCGTTTCTGTTTCACTGCTGAGTGCAAATCCCATTTGAGAAATCCCCTGCCAACTCTCTAAACAACAAAATTTCCTCGTGTTAAACTAGCATAAAAAACTTCTATTCTTCACGACTTCTTTGCTCCATCTTTAAGTCAGTATTTGCATTTACCATAGCCTGAAAAATGAAGAAGCATAAAAATATAAGAAACTTAAAAGGCAATCCACGTTGCGACTTAAGCTAGGCTGGAACTTTTACGGGCAGTTCAGCAAATTTTGACCTTGTATATATACACATACATATATTTATCAACATGCTTGGATCTTTTTTGGTGATAGCTCCAGTTTGTCTGAAGTCACAATCAAAGTCTTTTTTCATCGAGGCTTGATAATATGCATTCATGGCATAGGCAGCATGAGCTCGAACCGTATTAGGATAAAAGCATGCACCACTTTCTTGTATAGGTTTGCAATATTCCATATCCAATCCACACACATAATCAATATTTCTCTGCAATGTCTCTTCATTTGCCCCTGATTTGGGAACACACCATGTTTTTCCCTTTGGATCTGGCTTAGGTTTCACCGCTGGAGTTGGGTAAGACGGAAAATTAGCTATAACCTGCCAGAGCCAATGGCATGACAGATTAGACAATATTGAATGGTATAAAATGAGAAAATTTTAAAGTACGATACAATATTGTGTACCAAATATGTAGCAAATGTACAAAAGTATCAATAAACATGCACTATGTTGATTCTTGGCAGCGGCAGCTACCGTTGGCCTTAAGATCCCTATGTTGTAGACCGGTGTCAAATCAGGCTGGAATAATCCGAAATTTCTTTCACACGTTGGCCCTTGCTTTAGATCCTCGTTAAAGAGCGCGAAAATGTACGTTTCAAACGTTCTGTTAGGCATGAGTGGTGTCCCAATCCTGGATGTTACATGCTCCACAAGTTTTCTGTTGTATTCGGCTGCACTTTCAGAATCGACCCCAGCTTGCCCTGTGTCCCCTTTCGAAGGCCATCCGGTCTCGGCTATGACAATGTCAACGTCAGAAAAACCGAGGAGTTTCATTGCAGAGAAAACTGCATCCAACTGTGCATCTAGCATGTTTGCATAGGTAAGTTTTGTGTTTTCATCAAGAACCCCTGCATTAGGCCTAAAAAGTGCATAATCAAGAATATCAGCCGATGACCCGAAAAATGGATAGGGGTTAACCATAAAAGGTGAATTTGTGGCCTTAAGGAAGCTAAGCAATGGCTTGAGCACATGAGAATCATAACCTTCTCTAAACTTCCCAGTTGAGGGGGGGCTCGAGTTGGCCAATATACCCAGCGAATGCGGAGTAGAAATTTGTATCCTCCGATCCATCGACTCTCCAACGAGGACCATATGGAGCGTCTGCATTGCCAGAACAAGATTTACTATGAGCAACTTGTTGGCAGTCGATAGTACTTCATTACCTACAAGTATTCGGACTATATTGGTTGCTGGTAAATGTGGCACAATGTAGGCTTTCACCCATTGTTGTGCGTAATTTAGCTTTGTAAAATGTGGGATTTGATCATTAGGCACAGTAACGGTTATGGCAATGCCAGTGTGTGCAAATGCCTTCAACATTTCAGGGTTGGCATCAAAAAGCCTCACACGGTTGATAATGGTGGATTCTAGTAGGAAATGTGCAACATGTTCCGGGGATGGAAGGTTGTTAGCTACCGTCCCATAGTTTACCCCGATTGATCCATCTGCACCTGTAATAACAAACGAGATTCAAACTAAGTCTTATTATCGATAAATTAGATAGTATTATAAAATTATATCCAGTACCGTACACCAGGTTCATACCTCGGATGTAGATTGATAGCAAAAGAGAAAATATGAAGGCAAGAAATTTCTCCATTGCTAATGCTGTATTTGGAAGGAAACTGTTGAGTGATAAGTAGGCAGAAGCAAGTAGACATGGTTAAAGAAGAAGAGTGTTTGTGGGATATACTTTTCTTTGTATTTGGGAGTTTCTTGGAGGAAAGTTATTGAGTGTGTCATGCGCTAAGGAATAATTATGGGAAAATAAATAGTTTTTTTAACTTTTTTCCTTGCTTAGTTAGCAAGTCTTTTCCATTTTTATATGAGGAAGGGAAATGTTTTCACTTTTCTAATCTATGTAGAGATTTTATGTGACAGAATGAAAGAAAGAAGTTGAAGGACCAAAATAAAATACTCAGTATATTGGGGACCTAAGATACAATATTCTCAAAAAGTAAAATTTTGGCGTTCTCTCCTCGAATCCCTCGTTCCCCCAACTTCTCCCTTCAAACCCCAACGCCACCTCGTCTTGTAAATTTTTAATTGATCGATAATAAAGAAATCAATGGAGAATTCCAGGGTTGTGGACGGGTTTGCGCGGTGGTTCGGAACCAGTGTTGCGGCAGCGTTTTTTGCGTCGCTGGAAAGGTGCTCATGCGTCAATCTGACTACCTATGACTCCGATGATGACGATGTAGAGACTAACGACGGTCCTGTGATGCTCACCACAGTAAATTCCGTTAATTCCACCTCCTCCTTCGCCTCCGCCACCACCTCCACCAACAATAATGCTGTTCTTCCTTCCGTCGATAGCCTCCCTGTCTGACCATTATTATCATTCGTTTCACCCATCGGTGATTGGTAAAATGTTTGCTGTACTCATTTGTATTATCCTGTTTTCCTTTTTTCACCATTCAATGATAAGGATTTTTGGATTTTTTTTTTTTCTCCAATGAAACGGCATTACCAAGCTGGTTATGGGATTTTTCTGGCTTGTATTACCCTCCCTTGATACTGTACTGTAAATTTTTTCTAGATAACGCACAGGCAAAAATTGTGATTTTTATGTACCGAAAATTGAATGGATTTTATTAAGTGATTCGAGTTTTATTGATTTTCTATTGGTTTGGAAATTGAAACATATTTGATCAATCAAGGATGGGAACTTTATTTCTATGATTTGTTTGCTTCTTCTCAATGAAAGAACATTACTAATGGTTGTGGCATCTTATTGGCAATGGTAACACATTATTGGTGCATAATACCTTTGAAATGAGCTGGATTTGTTGTTCTTTGCACGTGTTAGAGAAATTGACCTTATTGGGAAGTACTGCAGAAAATCAAATCAAATCAAACTAGAAATCCATCCTTCGGCACTCTTCTGGGCTAAATCTATTTAATCCGAAGGCAACAGATTCTTGCACGTATATACATGAAAAAACTAGCGTATTCTTTACAGAACTATTACTCGTAAACTTGTTACGTAGCCAGTGTTACAAAAAAACACTACTTCTGTAAGGCTAAACCGCCTAACTGTGGCACCAATTAGCTCAATATCAGAAGAACGAGAGAATGCCCCATGGAATCTCCTGGGGCAGGCATACAATGCTTCACGCTGTAGGGTTTCGACAAGAAAATGTCTTAGTGGTTACAAACATGAGGAAGGGTGAGCATGTCTGGATAAGCTTAGCTACTTTTAATTTATTTTCTGCTTCAAACTCCAGAGTTATTTATTTTAATGTCTATATAAGTAACTTATTTTCAACTTACCAATAAAAATAAATTATTTTATAACTCATGCCTATAAGTAAACTTTCAAGCTTAGCCAAACATGCTGCAAAGGGCAGACAAAATCATTCGGACCAGCCAACATACTACTAGACAACGTTCCTCACCATTTTTCTCAAATAACTTTAGACCACTTGGCCAGGAACTCCTCGGTTCCACTGTGATGATTGATGACCAAGTAAAAGATGTTATAACGAGGGTCCGAGGGTTTCTTCATGATACAGACGTGCATCTCTTATTGGCCTCTCTGTGCGTGAATCCATTTCGTTTCTGGGCCAACAGATACAGACTTAGCGAATAAACAAATCGAGGAATTGTTGAATTAAGCAAAGCAATCAATTGCAAATAGTGTACCTTAGTTTTTAATTAGCTGCTGGATTACAAACTTGTGGATCCGCAAATCTGAGAACACCCACTGGATGACTAATTCTTGACAGTGATACAGCAATGTGGATGGTTTGGCTCGGGTAAACAACTTCCAAAATCAACTTTATGTGCAATGAACTTGCTGTACATAACCAAATTGACGGATCACTTAAACAGGTGACCATAAAAATCGATCATATCCAATTTCTCAATGATCCTGCAACCTCGTTTTAAAATGGTGTTGGTAACCCATAATTATGGAATGATCTAATACGTCCATCCCATCCTGCGGTAACAATAACTAGACCCCACGCATGCGAAGTAGATGAATTCTGGCAAGAAGTCTTGAAAAGTTTGTATTGAGATTTACACATTTGATAAAGCCCAGTCCAGGGACTAGACATGGGTAGCCTTTCCTCGGGCCAAGTTGCAAATCCCTTGGGGCTGGAGTCCAAGATAAACTCTTGGCCCAAAGAGAGGTGAGTCGTTAACTTAGTTAAATTCTCTTCGAGTTTGCTCGATTTGAATCCATCCTCCAAGTTCCCTATCTTTAAACCAGACCAAGGTATTGCCACAGAAGCGTTAGATGAGAAACACTCGAATGATCTAATGGATTGCGAGGTAGAACATGGTTCACTATTGTAGTTCCATATGTAAACATTAGAATCCTCAGTCACTGAAACAATGTGCTTTCCATTTGAGGTCAATGAAGCAGAAATGTGGTTCCCAGCATCGCCTAGGCCTATAGACAGAGTGAGAGTATTAATCTAGAGAAATTAGAAAAACTAATACAAAATTCAACAGGAGCCCAAATCATATTATTCCTTGAGGAAATCCACCGCTAAGAAAAGCACTAGTTGCATACCTTGGTATCTCCCAATCACATTCATCCCACTAAGAATTCTAATTTGTGAATCAGCACATGTGACCAAAACTTTGCTCCAGTCTTGTGGGATAAACTGCATTTGTGGAGCATCAAATTAGAATCGAAATAAAGGTTTTATTTTTCAAGCGATCTTGCTCTCTCTATACATTTATCTTCTAATTAAAAAGAAGGGTGATGGACAACTGATGTTAACCTGGAATCCAGTTACCCTTTTGCGGGCCGAATTCTTTTTACTGGTTAAGCACATCTGCCCTTCTAGTTGGGAGAGATTATCTTACAAAAGATAAAAGAAAAAAGGCAGTAATCAATGCTTAGTCCCTAAAAGTGAGTATCGGTTTCAGTTCTAGTGCTAAATTATGGCATAATTGTAACAGAGTCACATGGACTTCAAAAGCAAAATCAAAACCTTAGAAATATTATTAGTGAAATTATATGGCATCATAAGAGCAAATGACCATTATTTTAAGGGAAAAAAAACCAGAAAATTCTACAAATTACCCGATATTTTAAAAAAATGACATATGCCTGTAATAGAGCCAATAATACCACCCTAAACAATAGAAAGAGAAAAATTCCATTAGTGCATCTTATAAATTTTTGAAGCCACAATTCCAATAAAATATTGTTTGCAAGTTCGATAAAGAGAATTGGAAGTGACTAGACAGTATTAAGGAGAAAAAAAATCTTATCCATTGTCGATTTCAATCCTATCAGATACTGTACCACAAATATCTGTAAAGGGATTAACAATCAACAGACCTGCCCATCTGGCCTATAGGAAACAGCAGTAACTATGTCTCTTATTTCAGTCCAATTGACAACTTGACAACCACTGACTGTCCAAATTCGAACCTTTCCGTCGATTGAACCACTGATGAAGTAATCATCATTCACCGGGTTAAACTGAATGCAGGTCACTGCACACAATCAAATTTATTTTGAGCAGAAGGAATACTTATATCAAAACCAAATTTAAAATTTCTTTCACAAGCTAAATCTATATGCACCAGGTTACAAACCATAATCACTATGCCGAAAGACCTTGAGACACTGCTCATATCCAACCCGCCACAAACGAACAGTTTTATCAATTGACGAAGAAAGCAGACACTGCAAGAAAATAGAGTAATATAAAATATCATTCATGTCCAGGCAATTTCAAAAGAAAAACCTACATTAGTTTTCGACCAAGAAAGATCCACAATGTCTCCAGTGTGACCTACAAACACGTGCAGTGGCCTCTCCAAAATCTGGAAAACCTTTGGAGGAAAGATGATACATGCCGAATCTTTTGGTTTCCTTAAACTCTTCAGTTTGTTGGTTTTATATTTTTCCTCCACGAGAGTCAATTCAGAGAGATTGTTCACTGAGAAGTATATGCAAGATTGATCTACTTCCGGAATATCCATATGATTTGATCTCTCATCTTCCACCACTTGCCAAATGCGCACTATCTTATCTTCACCAGCACTAGCTAGGTATTGTCCGTCTAGACTAAATTTCATAGTAAGGATTGACCCTTCATGGGCTTCAATATCTTGTCCAGTGAAGAGTGCTGAGAGTTCTTTCAACATTTTCCGTTTACGGCGAACCCTAACTCTCTGAACCTTGGCCCCCTGAATTCCACTGGGGCAATTGGATCTAGATTTATCAGTTCTCCCATTCCCACTGATTATGCACGGCGAGGAACAGAATCTGCTCAGCCAGCGAACTTTTATTTTATTCATTATTTTCGAAATATTTCCATTAATCTGAAATTCTGTCTCCCCAGGTTGCTGAACTGAAGGAGACAGTCGAGTAATGTTCTCAAAATCTGCAATTCCAACCGCCAAATCATCAACATTACACTCACAATCGCGTCCATCGTTTAAATTCCCGTTTCTACAAACAAAATTTTCCCTAGGAGTAATTTCTCTTACTGAATCCAAAATATCAGTGGACCAACTTGGTATACAAGGATCGCTAGAAGAAAATTCATCTTCAAAAATTGAAGTTCTTAGAACAGCCTCACTACTTTCCATTATTCTATCAGTATCTCCTCTAAAGACGCCGCGTTTACCATTGTCATGTACATCAAAGGAATTGTTTCCTTCTAACCTATCTAAGCTCAATTCCATCCATCTAATGAATTTCCTACGACGCTCCCTCACACTTCGAGGACTACCTATCCACAAATCATATTCACAATTATTAGCCTCAGCATTGTCAGAATCAGACGCAATGTGCTCTGATGCATCAAAGAATCGAAATTCTTTATCCTCATCACTTGAGCTACCCATAATTTTTCTTGGGTTCAACCCATAGAAGACTGAAACCTCGCGCCAAGAAACCAAAATTCTAAGCACTAGGCAACGCTGAAGTAGTTATCCCTTCCAATAGAAACCCTTCATGAAAAACGAGAACAGGTGTAAGATCCAGAAAGAAATAGCAGGCGACACAAAACATAAGCCCAAGAACTAAGGTTGAAGTAAAAAATATATAATTAAAAATAGAATAAAACTTAACTGAATAGAACCGGACCAGACCAGTATCTCAATTCAATAAATGCGTGCCAATAGGTTGGAATTGAATGCTAATTGAATTCAAAGTGTCAAAGCCAAACTAAAGTCTTTGTTATGGTTAGTCTTTTATTGAGTTCTTCTTGACTCACTAGTCTTGCCAAGTTGAGGAATACTAAAGTCTCAAATATTTAATTTCTTCTTAAAATAATAATTTGAGAAGTCTCAAACATGCAATGATTAATGACAAAAAACTTATTCAAAGCATCAATAGGTTCACCTGGTCAAAATTGAAGATTATCGAAAAGACTATGATTATCCTAAAATAAATTTAACAACAATAAATCTTTTTGACAGGGCCACGTATGCAGCATAGTCCGTTTAACAATGACTTTGTTTTAACAAAAATACATCTAAAACGAGTTATTACACTCCTTTTTCTCGTGAAATCAAAACCATCCAGAAAGGGAGACCTGATTAATGCCATAGAACACAAATTATGTACGTAAAGTTAAGATTTTTCACAATTTTTTAAATGATGGCGACGAAATTTAAGTAGAATATTTGCATGACTCTTTTCATTTATACATTTAAATCTTGTTTTTAACTACATGAAAAATATTTAAAATTTGTCAATAATCTTAATAATAAAGATTTTAGTTTATATAAAAATAATATTATTTTTAAATAAATTTAAAAAATATCTAATAAAATCATATAATGTCAAGTCAAACAACTTTAGAACATGAGTAAACACTACGAAAGGCAATTAAGTTTGTGCTAAATGCACATTTAACTTTTTTGAAGTTAGAGTTAACTGTGTCATTCAAGCTTGCATGAAAATCATCGATGGTCTCATCACCCTTCATACTAATCTCTTCAAATCTAATGGTCAACATTTGTAACTTAGAGTTTTTAACAACGTGAATTCCATCATGTGTGGTCTGTAAGATATCCCAAACTTTAGTAACCTTACACATAGACACACACTTAAATTCTTCTGGTGACAGCCATAAATAAAGCATGTTACTATTTCAATTACACTAATCTAAATTAGTCTTCGATCAACTAACTATAGGAGTGGGGGTGACAACACCATTAATGGTGCTAGAAGAGATAGTTCAACCATCGACTACGCTCAACCAAATACTATCATTTATCGATTTTAAGAAAGCTCTCATTCTAAATTTTCAATAGGCGTAGTTACTACCATCAAAATATAATAGGATAGACAATGAACTACTCATATTAAAAGTTAGGGTCAGGAATCGAATTTGGGCTCTAATACCACTGGATAGTTACTAGTTCGACAGTAAAATCACCTAGAGAGAGGTGAATATGTGAATATCGTGAAATTAAAATTACCTATTAAAGTAGCATGTCGCTTTTTAATTGTTCTAAATGTTTAGTCAATCAAGTCAAGTTTATCTTAGGTTAAATTGCCACAATAATCAATGAAGTAATAACACAGGATTCGTCGACCAAAAAAAATCCTTCACAAGATTAAAAACTCCGGGACCAAGTCAGGGATTTCCACTGTAGACAATAAGAACTTACAGTATGATCCAGCCTAGAAAAATCATTAGACTCCCTGATTTAATTCCTGCAATCTTCAAGACTCGCTGGAACGTGCTTCATTCACACCTGCTCACAATCTTTTGAAATTGTCTATTACCTGTGGATTACTAAGAATACTTTGTTCTTGTACTCTTCATGTGCTTCAGGTCTAACCTTCTTCAATTTTCAGCAACCTCTGAAAACTATTTAGAAAATATATTCCGGATTATGTTTAGAAAGTTGATGTTTTGGATTATGTGATTTAAATGTTTTTTTCCAACTTGTGGTTGATTGATCTCAAGAAGTAGAGTTGTTATTTTCCCTCCAAAAGATGTTATGAAGGTAGAATATAATGATTAATCACAATTTTTCACCAAGTGGGGCTTGTGTATTTATAGTAGAGAGGTATTGGATAGCGCGAGTTAGATAAAACTCTTGAAAAACGTGAATTAGAGTTTTTCGAAAAACATTATCGTTCGAGCGCTAGGCGAGAGACAGACAGGCGACAACTATTTTGTTTTGGGCGCTCGAGGATTAGCTTAGCGACAAGCTAGCGTAAATTCGCGACTCTTTCTCCACGTTCCATACTCCAACCCTAAGACTCCTAATTCATCTATACAATATTTTCAACAGATTTCTTGACTTTTACAACTCTTTTATATATTCATTTTTGTCTAAAGAATCATCAATACAATTAAAACCTAACAGATAAGAATTTAAGTGAAATAAGTTATTAAAAATTAATTTTTACTTAAAATATGTTTTTTTTTCCTCCTAATATCACTATGAATGTGTTTGGTGTGATCACAAGAAAGTTATTTTGAAAGAAACTAAGACGAATTATCGAGTAATTATCTAGAGGCATAGTTTCACAATAATCGATACATGAATATTGACAAGTGAAACAAACAATTAATTTATCAATGAAACATGTCACATGACTTTTTCCTTAATCTCTTCTAATTATTGCGCATTGTCTGTACTTAACACTTCAAGTATAATGATTTGGTCGGATTATGAAGAAATTGAGAAGGCAAAAACAATGATTAGAATAAACTAATTGTTGAACATTTTACTAAGATGTTTGATTAATTGAAAACATAGGCAACAATTACTTTAGACTTTGTTAACCTCTTATTCTAATAACGTAGACAAAGTTGCATTAGATTTAACGACGAGTTTAATGATTGTTTCAACCTTTCATCGAGTTTGCACAGATGGACTGCAATCGCCAACACACCTGCTTTAATTGATCACGAATTGAAGGCTAAATACAAAAGAATAGGTACATTTTATTTTGTTAACAGTCTAAATTTAATATGAGTTAAGTCAGGGCGGATCTAGAGATTTTTTATTGCAAAGTTAAAAATTGAGGACGCTCGAGTGGAACTCAAGCACTCCAAGAATGGTAAGCCTCAGTCATTGGCGCTTGAGTGTGCTTTGCATGATACTCCAAGTTTCTATTATATCAAACACAGGCATGATATATACACGAGTTTTCTAAAAACTAAAGTTGAATAAACATAGAAAAATATAACTCGGTGAATAAATCGAAGCAGGAAATTTTTGGAAAAAAAGATTTACCTGATAATTTTCAATACATGTAAAAACAACCAAAAATGGTGCAATGGCAAACATGTTCGTTGTTGTACATGTATTGAAAATTATCAGGTAAATCTTTTTTTCCAAAAATTTCCTGCTTCGATTTATTCACCGAGTTATATTTTTCTATGTTTATTCAACTTTAGTTTTTAGAAAACTCGTGTATATATCATGCCTGTGTTTGATATAATAGAAACTTGGAGTATCATGCAAAGCACACTCAAGCGCCAATGACTGAGGCTTACCATTCTTGGAGTGCTTGAGTTCCACTCGAGCGTCCTCAATTTTTAACTTTGCAATAAAAAATCTCTAGATCCGCCCTGACTTAACTCATATTAAATTTAAACTGTTAGAAAAATAAAATGTACCTATTCTTTTGTATTTAGCCTTCAATTCGTGATCAATTAAAGCAGGTGTGTTGGCGATTGCAGTCCATCTGTGCAAACTCGATGAAAGGTTGAAACAATCATTAAACTCGTCGTTAAATCTAATGCAACTTTGTCTACGTTATTAGAATAAGAGGTTAACAAAGTCTAAAGTAATTGTTGCCTATGTTTTCAATTAATCAAACATCTTAGTAAAATGTTCAACAATTAGTTTATTCTAATCATTGTTTTTGCCTTCTCAATTTCTTCATAATCCGACCAAATCATTATACTTGAAGTGTTAAGTACAGACAATGCGCAATAATTAGAAGAGATTAAGGAAAAAGTCATGTGACATGTTTCATTGATAAATTAATTGTTTGTTTCACTTGTCAATATTCATGTATCGATTATTGTGAAACTATGCCTCTAGATAATTACTCGATAATTCGTCTTAGTTTCTTTCAAAATAACTTTCTTGTGATCACACCAAACACATTCATAGTGATATTAGGAGGAAAAAAAAACATATTTTAAGTAAAAATTAATTTTTAATAACTTATTTCACTTAAATTCTTATCTGTTAGGTTTTAATTGTATTGATGATTCTTTAGACAAAAATGAATATATAAAAGAGTTGTAAAAGTCAAGAAATCTGTTGAAAATATTGTATAGATGAATTAGGAGTCTTAGGGTTGGAGTATGGAACGTGGAGAAAGAGTCGCGAATTTACGCTAGCTTGTCGCTAAGCTAATCCTCGAGCGCCCAAAACAAAATAGTCGTCGCCTATCTGTCTCTCGCCTAGCGCTCGAACGATAATGTTTTTCGAAAAACTCTAATTCACGTTTTTCAAGAGTTTTATCTAACTCGCGCTATCCAATACCTCTCTACTATAAATACACAAGCCCCACTTGGTGAAAAATTGTGATTAATCATTATATTCTACCTTCATAACATCTTTTGGAGGGAAAATAACAACTCTACTTCTTGAGATCAATCAACCACAAGTTGGAAAAAACATTTAAATCACATAATCCAAAACATCAACTTTCTAAACATAATCCGGAATATATTTTCTAAATAGTTTTCAGAGATTGCTGAAAATTGAAGAAGGTTAGACCTGAAGCACATGAAGAGTACAAGAACAAAGTATTCTTAGTAATCCACAAGTAATAGACAATTTCAAAAGATTGTGAGCAGGTGTGAATGAAGCACGTTCCAGCGAGTCTTGAAGATTGCAGGAATTAAATCAGGGAGTCTAATGATTTTTCTAGGCTGGATCATACTGTAAGTTCTTATTGTCTACAGTGGAAATCCCTGACTTGGTCCCGGAGTTTTTAATCTTGTGAAGGATTTTTTTTGGTCGACGAATCCTGTGTTATTACTTCATTGATTATTGTGGCAATTTAACCTAAGATAAACTTGACTTGATTGACTAAACATTTAGAACAATTAAAAAGCGACATGCTACTTTAATAGGTAATTTTAATTTCACGATATTCACATATTCACCTCTCTCTAGGTGATTTTACGGTCGAACTAGTAACTATCCAGTGGTATTAGAGCCCAAATTCGATTCCTGACCCTAACTT